AAGTTAAGTGAGGTCCCTTGTAAGGAAATGATGAAGGAGGGCAAGGGAAAGAAAACAGGTGAAAAAAAGGAATTATTTTGGGTATGGGAATTATTTTCCTATACCGTTTGTGTCATTCCCCCAACGCTTACCTTTTTGGATTTTTCCCTTCTTCTGGTCGGAGCCTGAACTTTTCTGTTTAATTTTTTTGACTCGATTTGTTTTGGGCGGTTTCCTGAAATTTTGAAAAGCTAATTTTTCATCTAACGAAAATTTTTTGGTTTTATTCGAAAAAGTCAATTTTTTCAGGCAAATGAATACACGGGAATGCTTTTTTCTTGGAATTTTTGACACACAAAAAGTAATTATGGTGCTTGAGCATCAATTTCAGGAGCAGGTACAGCTGGAGGAGGTGCAGGACCAGGAACATTTGGATCCTCTTCCATTGGATCCGGTGCCACCATTTCTTGGCGACCTTTTTCCCCACTGTCCAACTCATTGCAATGAGTAATAGCGTTTAATTGCGCCACAGCGGAAGCCGGCAAGCCCAAATTGTATGTGGTGTGATATTCGGGATGACGGAAGATGTACTAAAATTTTTCATTTCATTTTTTTTTGAACTGTTGTTATTCAAAATTCTGACTAAAATTCAAATTCCCGCCAAACGCACCTTACAAACTTCCAAGTCATTCAACACCGCCAATTTCACTTTGTCCACCTTACTCAACAGTGGCGATCTCAGCACAGCCATATCGACATAACGAGTTCCGATAGGAGACAACCAGTATCTCGCCAACTCCATAACGTCCTGTAACTTGTTCAGGTGGACCGCATGACATCTATGATAGATGATATTCAGAAGGTCCATGACAATTTCTGAATCGGCTGAGACGTTTATAGTATCTTTTCCGCAATCCGCGAAAGCCGTGTTGAAGAAGAGTTGCTCAAGCCAAAGACTGTGATGGGCGACGTGCTGAAAGACACTTTCTTTTGATAGAAAGTTCTCTTTTTTTTTTGAGATCAAATGGCTCACCTCCTTACAAACACCGATTTTCTTCCCATCCTGACACACCAGCCACCCATTAATCACTCCAGGCATCACATAAGGGGTGTCAACATCCATATCAGCTTGATAATTATGAATGAATGTTGCCTCGGTATTTGCCACGTGTAACTGAATATTCAACGATAGTTTCCCTTCAATCATCAATTGACGTTGTACTGGATTGAGGACAGCCACCACCGCTTTTATAGTTTTTTGTTCTTTATCTATGATACGGTAGTAGATGTAACGGATCGTGGCGAGACCGTTTTCGAACAGTGAGATCTTCATTTTTGCCTGTTGACGAACGACTACTTGCATGCTGACTGCGACTAGAAGCAGGAGTCCATGATTGGTCTCTTCCAGGTAGATGGTGTACTGGCTGGAAAAAATTGCTCAGAATAGCATAGCAAACTAAGCACGATCTTTTTACTCACCCCTTATGACCCCTGATCGGTATCATTGGCTCCATCTGAGAACGACGATAGAGAATATTTGGGTTGAGCTTCAATCTGAAAATGTCACACGCTCCGCATTGCGGTTCTTCTCGGTGCACTTGTTCGATGGGGTCCTGAAAAAAAATTTTTTTGGTTTTCAGAAAAAATTCATACCTCCTCCGTCAAAATCTGATACATTGGCAACATGGTCCTGGAGTGAAAATCCAAAGCGGTATCCGGTAAATCCTGTCGATCCCATCCCTCAGTAAAGCCCATCTTGAACCCATTCAGCATCACCTCATGATACTTTTCGGTGCCATAAAACGATCGATGGAAAATCAGACACAGAATATCATACAGTGCCAATGCCTCCTTTTCAGATAATATTCCACGTCTCATTTCGTCCAAAATTCGTTCAAAATGAGGGTTACGCTCTATAGCGGCTTGCTTGTCGAAACGGATACTGTAGAAATCTTTGTAGGTGAGCCATTCGGTGCCATGGGGCCAAAGATGATCTTTTGGGGTGTAGGTATCGAGTTTCTCAATGTTGTGCACGGTTAAGGTGAGAGTGACGTCTGGGACTAGGTATCGACCATCGGTGCTGCTGAAAATTTTGATATTTTTGGATAAATTGATTTTTGAAACGTGCTCAGCTTGTCGGGAGCTTCAATTTGAGTATAATCATGACTATATTCTAAGAAATTTTTTTAGAAAATTTTTTTTTTTTTTTTTTTTTTGAAATATTTTTTTTTGCTTTTTGGGTTACTGTAGTGACGGGGCCTCGGAAGTCAAAATTGCCCAAAACCCGGTGATGATTATACTCAAAAAAAAGCTTTTGTATTTCCACTCACTTATCCACGGCGGCCATCAAAGTGTAAGGGAACATGATTTGATAATGGTCCTTGTCGACGACAACCATATCATCCGTTTCACTAATCTCTAGTCTTGGTTCATTAGATTCATGGGTAATGTAGATTTTGTAGGCGTTATTTCCCATCCCATTGAATGCAATGACGCATTGACCAGCCAGAATTCCAGGGGAGTAATGGTGAGCCGACCATCTGACGATCCTGAAATGAGGTGGAATTTAGAGCGATTTGTTTGAGATCAGGGGGAAATTTGGGGTAGGAAATCTAGTTTTAGAGCGGAAAAATCAATTTTTTGAGCGGGAAATGAGCTCTCTGGTGTCTTTTTTGATCCCAAAATCAGTTTACACAAAGCATAGTGGTTGCCAGGCTTCAATATTGAATTCTAAGTCGCAAAATCAAATCAGAAACCGAGGTCTCAGTTGAAAAATGTCATTTTTCGGTCGGAAACTTATTTTTTCTGGTCGAAAACCTAGTTTTTGCTCACAAAAATAGCATTTTCGGCCTTGAAAATTGAATTTTTGGGTCTAATAACAATGATTCAGGTCAATTGATGGAGTCAAAAGTGTTTTTCCCCTAAAAAAAACTCAATTTTTGACCCTGAAAAAATTTTCAGCCAAAATTGCCTAATTCGAGGGCTGGAAACCCATTTTCAGCCCAAAATCCCTCCAAATCACTCACCAATCCAGTTCCCCATGTGCTCCTACACTCTGCTGTGGCACATTATTCCTCTTATCAAAAACAATCTCCGACACGACAGGATACCCGGATCCCAATGGATATTTTCTTAGTGGTCGCTGTTGTTCCACCTCCATCTCCATCTCCATATCCTCCTCACCGAAAAATCGGAATGGTTCTCCCATTTCGAGCCATTCTCTATGAATTGGGTGTCTGCCTACACGTCTCTGCTCTCTGGCCCTATCGTCACGTTCGTGTTGTCGGAGAAGGCGGTCGTGTATCCATTGGAAATGAAGATCTCTTCGACGTTGCCGTTCTTCTTCGTCTTGACGTTCCTCATGGAGTATGACACGCTCTTCATGTTCCCGTTGGAGTCGTTCAAGGACCGCCGGTTCCAGTTCATTCCATGGATTTATTGGATCCGGTGCTTCTCGAATTCGTGGATTTGGTGGATTCAACTCCTGTGGATTTAGGAGTAGAAATGGAACCGGATGCCGATGGACCCAAAGATTTGGTTCCCCTTGATTTTGATTGTTTCGTGGATTTGGTGGAACTGGCATCGGAGGGAGCACTGGATTTGGTGGAATCGGTGGATTTAGTGGACCTGGCATCATAGGGTTTCGTGCATCCTGTGGATTCGGCGGATTCGGTTGATTCGCATTTGGTGGATCTCGATACGGATTTGCCATCCATGGATTCGGATTCTGAGGATCAAATGGATTCGCTTGCTGGCCGTTCATATTCCATGGATTCGGATCTCCGCGTTGAATCATTTGTCGTCTTTGATTCTCCAGTGCTCTTGCGAGCTCATTCTGATACTGCTCCATCAGCTGACGTCTCCATGCCCCTCCACGTGGCGCCGGAGGATTAAGAAAAGCGTTGACTGGATTATCTTCTTCTACCTCTTCTACCTCTTCTACCTCTTCTGCCTCTTCTACCTCTTCTATCTCTTCTATCTCTTCAGGAGGAATATGAGGCTCCCCTCCCATTGGGTCACCACCCCACATGAAAAAGTGTTCTCGCATTCCCCTGAAAAAAAAACAATTATCTTATCAAAATTGATCGATTATATTAGGAAATTTCATCAAACGCGCTCTATTGATACCGCCCTCCACCAGGTTGAAAAAGCTAGGCCATGACAGCCTTGGTTCAGCTTTCTCAACATGCCGAAGGGCTTCATCGCCCAGTCACCTGCTATGTGAGCGCCCTGTCTCAATTGTGGGCGGAGCTATCGAAAAGTGGTCAACTAGTGAAACATGCAAAATTTGATTTCAAACAACTTTTTAGTTGACAACTTTTTGCTAGAATTGACGAGAACAGAACTAGGCCGTTTTTGAGAAAAATTTCACTTACTCTCCTCCCTCATCCATTGTAACTGATCGATTTTTTGTTGATGTTGATGTTGTTCTGAAAATACTTTTTGGTGTCTGCAAAATCATTAAAAAGGGGTACAAAGATATCAAGGAAGAGTGTCAAACCTTCTTCAAAGCAAGAGAAAAATCAATATTTTGAAAAATTGAACTTGTAGGTCAAAAAATAAAATGACAAGAAAAAGCGGTTAAAGCTAAAGGGGCGGAGCTTCAGGAAATGGGGGACAGGGCACTGGGAGGGGGGAAAAATGCTAATATGAGAAAAAATAACTTAAATATTCTGGGAATCAAGGGAAAAAAATGCGATTTACAGAAAAATATAAGAAAAAAAATTAGAAAAAGATTGGTTGCTTCAAACTATTCTTCTTCTTCTTTTTGTTTTTTACAAACAGTCCTGACTCCTCCTCAATTATTCTTTTACTATTCGCTGATTTTTGCCGAGTAACTCTCGAGTCGAGTACAATCATGCCAAGACGAAGGTGATGATCACTGAGGGTTTGGTTGTTGAGGTTGAATGGTGGAGCTGGAAATGATCAAAATTTGTCGAAAAAATCACAAAAAATGGTTTTCAGTGCTATAATCGCTCTGAAACAGTGTTAGAATCGTTTTCCACATGTGGAAAAACCCAAAGACGCATTCAGGATTCGAACTTGGGCTCTCAGATTCCTAGACAGCTGCTCTACCGACTGAGCCACGCGTGCCACGCGCGCTATCCTCGAAAAACGCGTTGAACGCAGCTGCGGCGGTGGCGCAGTCGGTAAAGCATGCGGCTGGGAATCCATACCACCAGAAGGGGTACAGGTTCAATTCCTGAGAGGGGATATACATTTTTGCAAACCCCGGGAACAATTCTAACACTTGAAATCATGGAAAATCGAAGTGGAAATGTCCAAACTCACTCTCATCCTTCTTATGTGCCTGGTAGACTTTCTCTGCGGCCTTCACTTCTTTGACATCCAGCCACTCCTTCCGTTTCAACGCCTTATCCACTTTTTGTTGAAACTCAGAGCACAATATCAGATCCTTTGTGACCTTTCCCAGATGGCTTCGCGCTCTTCCCAGTGAATCTTTTTCTTTCGTCAAATTATCGAGTACCTTCTGTTTGAGTTTATCGAAAAAATCAGTAATATACTTCTTCTTATTGATCATTGCTTGGGAGTCTGGAGCTAACGACTCAATCCCCTCAGTCCATCCTTTCAACAGCGCCTCTATGTATACTTTCTGATTGTAGAGGTCTTCTGACAGCGATTTTAGGTATTTGGAGTTTTCCTCAATGCGAGGAAGCAGATCGACCGTATCGTGATCTTTGTGATGGGTTAGAAGACACTCGGAGCACAGAAGATTCGAAAATTCGTTGCAGTCGGAGGTCTGAAATTTTTTTCTCTTGAAAAAAATGTTTCCAGACCCACCTGACAAATAAACTCCGCCTCTCTTTCCGGGTGCTGTGGGCACATGTATGGAGGTGTCGGCTTGTCCGTCACCGGTAATTTGGTGTGGCCAGACATCACCTTAGGCTTGTGAGAAGTGATGAAGCAACTGAAAATACAGTAGTCCAGGGGAAAAGTTTTTTTTTGACCTACCTTTCACAATAGGTCTCCGCGCACTCCTTACAGTACACCGAGGCCTCGTGTTGGGCGTTTTCAACACATGGTACTGCTGGATCTTCCACGATCACCGGCTCCAGAGCCTTTTGTTTCTTTCTTTCCGAGATCAAATTCATTAGGGACCAGTTTGATGGGAGTTGCTTACGGTCGGCTGAAAACCATCAAAATTGGTTGGGAACCGTCCGAAAAAAAAAACTAGAAACTGAAAAAAAATTAGGATTTTCGTTGATTTTCGACAGATTTTCATGATTTTTAGTTAAAAAAACAGTGAAAGAACTCACCCATTGTCAAAGTTCTACACGTCGGACAAATGACCCGGGCAAGCTCCATGGGAATTGAAAAGTTGCGATATTGGTCGATTGAATTGAAGCACTGGGTACAAAAACTATGACCACACGCTACCAATAGTTGTGGTTTGCGAAGCGGATCGGTGTCAGAGTAGGGTAAGAAGCAAACTGAGCAACTCAGAATATCATCTCTGAAAATTTGGGGGTTTTGAGCTCAAAACATGCATACTTGGGTATCCGGGCCGCCGCGAATTTCGAAAAATCGAAAAAAATTTCAATTTTTTCGACATCCAGGTAGCCGCGCCACCCTGAGAATTATTTCTCGGTGGGCGGGCCGTTCAAAAATTTAAGATTTTAGACCCCGAAAACTCACATTGGATTATTTGTCGTCGAGTCATCCGGTGCCACGAAAGGCCGGAATGCACCTCCCCTATTTGGATTGATTACAGGTGCTTGGGCTGCTTCTGGAGCCGCTACGGCTCCTAGATTTTGTTCTTGGGCTCTCAGTAATCGTTGGAGATCTGCGTATTGGTTCAAAAGTTCTCGCTCAGCTCTGAAAATTTTTCATATTTCCCATATCCATCTTCCTCCATAACTCACACTTGTCTCGGCTGGACCTGAGCCACACCCATAGGTGCTGGAGCCGCTGGAGCCGCGACCTGGTTGTTCGCAGGGTTCAATATCATTTGCTGTCTGTAATGGCCTTTTTCTATCATAGCTAACCCAGAAGAACTCACGCTTGGAGCAACATCCGATATTCCGGTCCCCACAAATCACCTCCTGGGGGTTGATGCGCCAGAAGACGAGGATCCATGGCTCCACCTCCGATGAGTTACCTGAAATGTTTTTTTTTTCATTTGTTTATTGATATATTTTCTGAGATTCAACGAGAGGGAAAAATACGCGGTAAGAGAGAGAGAGAGAGAGAGAGAGAGAGAGAGAGAGAGAGAGAGAGATAAAAAAGAGAGAGAAAAATCCAAAAAAAAAGTTAGTCCAAAACGATCACATCCTCGTCGTCTGAATCGTCTGAAGGATCATATTCTGAAGAATCGTCATCTGAATCCCCTCGTACTGGAGGTGCTTCGTCATCTGAAGAATCATCTGAAGAATCCTCATCTGAATCGTTGTCTGAATCGACATATGTGCCGTCAGAATCCACTTCCTCCTTCACTGGTTTCACTTGTGGAGCCACCACTGGATCCTTCGATGGATCCTCAAGTCTGGGACGCTTAACCGGTCTTTTCGGCTCGACAGACATGTCCGGTGTGAGTTCGTACTCGTTCAATGGGAAGAAGTCGCCTGGAAAAAATGAGATTTTTGGATTTCAATGGATGGGCTGTGCGAAAAAAAAATTCCGAAAAAAAATTTTCGAAAATTTTTCAGGGCGGGAAAAACGAACAATGCTTTTTCGGGATTTTTCAAATTTTTTTCCGAAGTTTTTCAATTTTTTTGAATTTCAATGGATCCGAGCAGGGCTGCGTAAAAAAAATTCCGAAAAAAAAAATCAAAAAAAAATTTTTTTTTCGAAATATTTGGACCAAAAAAATCTAAAATTGGAAAAAAAACTATTTTTTTTTCAATTTTCTCCCGAAATTTCTTGGTTTTTTTTTCCGGAAAAATGGATGGAAAGGCGGTAAAAACTTGAAAATAAACCACTAAAACCGTTTTTTCGGTTTTTCCCTGAAAAAAATTTTCGCCGAAAAAACTGAAAAAAATTTTTTTCGAAAATTTTTTGCACATCCATGAATCCGAGGAATCTACAAGATGTCTATTGGTTTTTGCACATGAGAAAAATAATTTAAACACTATTACAGAGCTATTTTTGACCCAGAAACTGAAAACACGGGCTCGCGAAGTGTCCCCTTCGGAAAAAAACTTGACTGAAATTTCAGAAAGTGCGCTCCGCCGTTTTTCCAAAATCTTTCGAAACGTCATTTTTTCAGTGTTTTTCAAGTCGGTTGTAGTGTAGAAATGCGAAAAGTGGCAGGAAACCGAGCAAAACTCCCTCAAAAACGTAAAAAACAAGTGAGAAGCCTCCGTAAATAGACAAGCCACGCCCTGTGGGCGGAGCTTAACTTTCGCGGGGGCGTTTGAAAAAAATCAATCGTAGGGGACGCTTTCTGAACACGTGTCCGAGCAGGGCTGTGCGAAAAAAAGTTTTTACAGAAAAAATTCGAAAAAAAAATGTTTTTTTGAAAATTTTGGACCGAAAAAATTTGACAAAAAAATTTTCTAAAGAAAATTTTGAACCGAAAAAATTCGAAAATGCTTTTTTCCGATTTTTTTCCATACCGTTTTTTCCGAAATGTTTGCCGGTTTTTCTCTGAAAAATTTTTCGCTGAAAAAACCGAAAAAATTTTTTTCGAAAGTTTTTCGCACAGCCTTCGGAGGACGATCTCAGATTAGAATCCTAGGGATTTCTAGTGGTTTTTGCACATGGAAAAATCAATTTGAACACCTAAAAATCGTACTCACCTAATGTATCAACTCCTTTGAGCCCTTCGACCTCCTTGAAAAACTTGTCGATGTCATGCAAATCCCTCTTTCTCTTCAAGCACTCCACAATTCTTCCCTTTGCACCCTTGATTTGTGCCACGCTTCTACAACATTGATTCATAGCGTTTTCAATCTTCTTCTCCTCTTTCTTCATAAATTTTTCATATTTTGTAATTGCGTTGTGCTTCAAGTTATCAAAATGATTACGAATTTTGGCGATGTGATCCGATTGCTGGTCATCTGCATCATCCAATAACTGGCCGAGATACTCATTGAATTTCAGAACTTTCTTATCTTTTTCCTGCACCTTTTCAAGCAATTCTTCAACTTTTGAGTAGTTTTTTTCAAGTTGTGGTAGAATCATTTGAACTTTGTGGTTGCGGTGGTGGATGTTACGACACTTTATGCATGTGATTCTGTTTTCTGAGCAGCCGAGTTGCTGAAAAATGCGATTTTCCGAGAATTTTGGATAGAATGGTTCCAAATTGTTCCGCTCATGTGCAAAAACCCATTGGCACAGTCGGGTACGTTACCGGCTGCGCCACGCGCTCCCTTCCGGATAAATGCGTGGCGCATTCGGTAAAGCAGATGTCTGGGGATCCATACTTCCACGTGGACTACAAGTTCGACTCCTGGGAGCGAATATATTTTTTTGCTAGAAAAATAGAATTGCAACCCGATTTTCAAGAAATTTAGGATTCATGGTTCCAAATTTTTCCCCTCACGTGCAAAAACCCATTGGCACAATTGAAAAAAAGGCTGCGCAAGGAATGTCAAACCGGGCCGCGGCCGTTTTTATATTTCGACTTCTAGCGGTGAGATCTGTTCGATGCAAGAAGCGGCATTTTGGTAAAAAGACGGCCCGGAATTCGTTAATCGCGCCCGGCCGTCTGACAGCCCTGGGCTGCGCCACGCGCTCCCCTCGAGTGGCTCAGTCGGTAAAGCAGCTGTCTGGAGATCCATACCAGTGTTGCACGGAAATTTCCGTTTCCGTTTCCGTTTCCGTTTCCGCGGCATTTTTTGGCGGAAATTTCCATTTCCGTTTCCGGCGGAAATTTGCTTTTCAGCCGGAAATGCAAACGGAAATTTCCGAAAAAAAAAATTTTTTTTTGAGGCAATTCGATGCTATAATTTTCCAAAAATCTGTATATTTAACGTTTTAAAATGCTTACATGACACCATTTTTTCTGAAGCATATGATTTCGGACCTTTTTTTGCCTTTTTTTTTCATGTTGCTTCAAAAATTTCCGTTTCCGTTTCCGTTTCCGGCGGAAATTTTTTTCGCGTTCCGTGCAACACTGATCCATACTTCTA